TATGGTTTTTACAGGATGAAAGCCAACCTCAGGCCCAACCCAACCCTCAGTCGCCTCTTACGACATGCCTGGTAGGGTGCAGTGTCACTATTCTTTGCTTCCTGTGAGGGCCCCGGTGACACACGGAAACTGACTACACGTGCACTTCATAAAACCTCATGCTATTTGAATATCGGCTGTTACGAAAAGGCGGAGCACACTCAAAAGCACTATAAGCAGTTTTTCTTTTGGTGTCCAAACGTGTATAGGTAAAAAGCTCGCTTTAAACTTGTACTTGTTCCTTGCAGAATTCCGTGTTGTCCGTTTTTTGGTAATAGCTTTTAGCAATTGAACTAAACGTATAGCACCCTTTTCGCGCCTGTGTCCGATAGGGGAACATACTTCTGGGGCCATAATTTTAAACAAATAAGCACTTGAGAAGCGGTATGATTACGATTGTAGGGGTTGCTCATACTTCTAATAGCCTTTTTAAACAGTTATTTTAAGCTGAATCTTGATCTAACAGTTGGCACAAATTGGGTTATACACTCAATAGGTGGCATAATTGGAAGCTGAGGCACGTTTTGCCCAACCCCCCCCCCCCCCCCTTATTTTATTAAACAGAGTAGAGGCTACACCATATATATGCATATATATATATATATATATATATATATATATATATATATATATGTGTGTGTGTGTGTGTGTGTGTGTGTGTGTGTGTATGTATTTATAAATATACACCTTCCTTTTTTGAAGATTTGTTTGTAAATTAAATATTAAGTGCAAATATTGTTATATTTGCCATTCGTAACATAAAAATAGTAACTGTAATAGTAATAAAAGAAGTCGCCGTGGCCGAGCGGCTAGACGCTCGCCGCGGATCGGAAGATCGTGTGTTCGCTCCCTGGGGGAGCCGGACTTATTTCAAAAACGACCTTGGCTGCCAGGTCGACCCAGCTTTGAGTGGGTACCGGGTGCAGTCCCAGGAAAGTAAAGGCGGCCGGCGTGATGCTGACCACATCACCCATCTTGTGCCAATTGGTCTATAAAAATTTAGGTCTAGCCCTATATTCCCTATACGCCTAAAGGTGTGGAAAAGGGTCCTTTACTTACCTTTTTTTTAACTTTTAATAGTAATAACAATTCTCGTTAGTAGTGCACACTTAAACATGACTCAAGACCCTTGAGCCACCTACGTAATAATTTCCAAGTGCCTGGAGCTCGAAGAGATTAGGCCTTGTTTAATTGCGCAGTAATATTGATATGATTATTTTTTTTAATATTATTTTTTTTGTAATTTTATTTCGCAACTAAACAAGGCTTGAACACCCCCTCCCCCCCCCCCCACCCCTCACTTGGAAATGTATCTTAGGACTGGGGATTAGCTCTCTCTTCCCACCACTATGTGTTATATCTTGCCGCATGCCTGTTACATGCTACATCACTGGTGGTATATTAACCCACTGACGACTGTACAGTAACATGTTTGCTTACATGTAGTCATATCGGCATGAACATTCTGCTAGTTTCGGATTAACTTATTGTTTAAAAAAAATGCCTTAAAATAGATAAATTTAAAATGTAATTTTTTTTTTTTTTTAACGAAACAGTTCTTCCTTGAAATTTATCTGTCCAATATTCATTTTGTAAAGCAGTTATTCTTGTCTCTTTATAACTGTTCATTATTTTATGGAGAAGTAGGTGATTTTTAAATATCTCGGATATGTTCTTCCCATTCTTTTTCTGCTCAGGGGGTTGCATGGTCTCTAGGTATGGTGAAGGCTCACGTGTTAGAGGTTCCGGGTTCAATCCCCGATAAGGACTGCGATTTTTTTTCCACGTGGACTTGGACTTCTAGTATTTCCCCTGGTCTCTGGGTAGTGAGATCGAACGCCCGTGTGCATTGTAACGCACGTAAAAAAATCCTCTGCCAGTTGGAAATCGAAAAGATTTGCCTAACGTCGCTGCCCATGCAAAATTTTGAGTTAAAAATCTACCCAAAGTATTTCAGGATCCTCGCCGGTGCTACAGAGCCTGTGCACTGTGCTGAGCTTCTTTGGACTCAGACTTGAGTTAGAAGAAGAACGGAGCACCCGTGTGCTATTATGTTAATCCGTTGTTAACTTCAAACTTCTTCTGCTCAGTATCATATGTAAGCACGGTACTCTTCCAGTTTTTAAGATGATCACCCGCATTTTGAAGATACCAGTTAGATGTTTCAATGTATTTTATAGTATTTTGCTACGTCCATTCTTGCCCCTATTTCTTGTTCTATTGTTTTATCACTTCATAAAGCTTTTTTTTTCGTACAATGCACTGTCTTATACATGGTGTTCTGTCATATTTCCTTACTCTAGCACTGATCATTGCTGCTTCTAAAGTTTGCTGGCTACTGTAAACAATATATACTCAGTGATCTGCCTCCACAGCAAGTAATTGAAACAATGCTTTTTAGATCGCGCTGAAACCTTACTTTTTCATTGCGAAGTCTTTGACAATCTATTCTTTGTTGTTACATGTTGTATAAGAGCTATTTACATCTATAGTTTCAGTTTTCCTAGGTAAATAATGTGGTCACTGCTAATAGCTTCTCTTCTGTATGCTCAGTAATACATTATCTTCTCTTCTGTATGCTCAGTAATACATTATCTTCTCTTCTGTATGCTCAGTAATACATTATCTTCTCTTCTGTATGCTCACTAATACAATATCTTCTCCTCTGTATGCTCAGTAATACATTATCTTCTCTTCTGTATGCTCAGTAATACATTATCTTCTCTTCTGTATGCTCAGTAATACATTCATGAGCTTTCAGATTTGTTTATTTATGAAGAGGTAGGTAATTAGATCCATCTGGTAAATTTAAAGTTAACTTGTTATCTCCGTACGTGCAAAGATAATCATCATCATCCTCATTATCATTATTATCATCATCATCATCATCAATTTCGACTTCTGCATTCAGGGTATGAACAGTTTGCGATCCATAGCTTAATGGACAGCAATGGCTCCTGTCATTCCGTGTCGATATAGAAGCTCTTTAATAGCATCCATTCATATTCTCCTATTGCCGCCTTTTGCTTTCATGTCAGATCCTTTCCTGTGTACAGCCTGCGTTGGTAGTTGTTTTGGTCGCATTCTTGCTAAATTACCATACCATTAGATCTTCTGTTTCCAAATGAATTTTCTGCCTGATGTTGTTCCTACAGTCTGTCTTACAATACCATTTCTAACTTTGTCTCAGATGTTTCAACTGGCGGCTTTTCTCGGGCATCTGATTTCACAGGTGTTAGTTAATTTTACGTAGATTAGCCTTTGATAATGTCCATGTCTAGTACTGGAAGCACAGCGTTGGTATGAATGTCCATGTCTAGTACTGGAAGCACAGCGTTGGTATGATTGTCCATGTCTAGTACTGGAAGCACAGCGTTGGTATGAATGTCCTCTTTATATTCTGTTTCGTGGCGCTCATTCTTATGTATGAATCTCTTCATAACGGTGTCAGTTGGTATATAAGTGTACTGACTCGTTAGCATGTTGTTTCTTTTTCCTGATCTATTTATATATGCTTCCTATATATTTACGTTATGGCAAAGATAGCGCCCCAAAATAACATATCTGACTGCATGCAGAATTCACCTTGTCTTTCTCCATTCTGAAGGAGGGAAAGCTACAGTTAAAAGTCAAGGTCACTTTTCCACGCAATTCATGGACTTATATTGCTAGACCTATATTTTATAGACCAACAGCACAAGATGGGTGATGTGGTCAGCATCACGCCGGTCGCCTTTACTTCCTAGGACTGCACCTGTTACCCACTCAAGGCTGGGTCGACCTGACAGCATGGATCATTTTTGAGAAAAGTCCGGCTCCGCCATGAAGCAAACCCACAACCTTCCAATGCGCAGGCGAGCGTCTACCAGCCACGACACGGCGACTCCCACAAGCTACAGTTACATTCTGGTACTTACAAGTGATTGATTTCGCGACGCACTGGCAAAGTCGTTAGACATGGAGCTCTGAAGAATGTTTAGTCTTCAGAATTTGAGGTGTGAGGTTTTGAACACTGGATCGACATCATGGCACACGGGTAGTAACCCATGAGTGCTCCATTCTACTTCTAACTCAAGTCTGAGTGCGAAGAAGCTCAGCACAGTGCAACAATACACACGGGCGTCCGATCTAACCACCCAGAGATCAGATGAATTACTAGAAATCCAAGTCCATGTAAAAAAATCCCAGCCCTTACCTGGGATTGTACCCGGAACCTCCAGCAATCGAGGCGGACACCATGCCTCGAGACCACTCAACCCCCTGTCTTCAGAGGTTTGTCTGGTTCAGTTCACGAGTGCATTGTTATGATATCCCCCATGATCGTCGCTGGAGTTACAGATTTTGTGTTTTGTGTGACAGCCGGACTTTGGAGAAAGACAGGCTAAACCACATGGTATTAAAAACCAGTATAGAAATGTCGATTAAAATGTCACTCCTCTAAACACAAGGCATAGAACAATTTAAAATATTCTTTTTTTTTTCCGCATTCCTATAGATTAATTGCTGCAGATATCACCCACCTTCAGTCATCTCTGGAATTGTCCTTTTCTTTCCATTGGTGACTCAAACTGTTTATAGGACTGCCCGATGCTATCCTTCCACTGTCTTCTTGGTCTACCTCGTGGTTTACTCTCATTCAACTCGTATTTTTTTAACGCAGTTTATTCATTCTTTGTTATTTGAAATTTTCTCAGTATACCCCAATAATTAGTGTGTGTTATTATTTATAATGCCAATAGTAAATGATGTTTGAAACAAATTACTTATTAATTTAACAAATTTTGAAGACAAAACACATCTTTAAAGAGTACCTACTAAATGTTTATTGTCATTTCTCCACAATCGTGGTCTCTATCAGAACATAATGTCCTTTTTTTTTTTTAAACTGCTTTTCGTCTACTCTTTTTTTTTTCATTGTCAGCATTCTGTCATGGGAGGGTCCAAGGAGGCACTACTAAGTTTTAAACGACGGGGTAGCTGGCATCAGATGCAATTCCACACTGGTTGTTCTTATTTCTTGACATCAGAATATAACCTTGTTGGCCAAAGTTTTCACCCCAGCTGGAAAATAGAAACATACATGATGCTTGTAATCACAAGAATTATTATCACACAATGCTATTCACTAATATATCTTAGTATATCTAATCATTTGCTGCGTCTTTAAACGAGATGTATTGCAAGACCACAAATGTAATTTTAGGGAAAGACTATTTAGTTGCACATCCATCACACCGCAAACGAGCCCTAATATTCGTTTGATTGACTAGTAGGCAAGTTTACTGTCATCATTACGGTACTCCTTTCTCAAAGGACGACCCAAACATCGCTCAAATTTGGCTTTAGAGTCCAGCGCTTATGGCTGTCATCATTTAGATACAGATGATCCTTTTATGACATGATATAAAACAATTTAACTTTTGGTCTCTAATTAAACTGTATTTCTGTATGAAGGCTTATGTTCCTTGAATATCACTGACTTTCGGTTAATATGTCAGATAGTCAGGTTCACTGTTTTTAGTAACGGCAAGCTTCTGCAAAATGTAACTAAACATTACTTTTTTGATCCACGTTTAGACCAAAAGGAAATAGTTCCGTCGCCCAGCTACTTGATTGAATGCAATGGCCCGAAAATGGAAACTGCGAATTTTATTTGGACTGTGCCAAGCGTGGTTTAGATTGTGAACTGCAGATTTAGAAATTAGCTAGTGGTTGTTGTCAGATAACTTGTTGTGCCTTATGCGATTAATTGCGTGTGCAACTACTATTCTGTTGTAGTTGCTGTTTGCAGCGACGTTGCTTTGCAATTTCTAGTGCAGGACTGTTTGTACTGGCACTACTGACGGCTGCTTAATTTCTTTAATGCAAGTGTGTCGTACTGGCTTTGCTGCGACTGCAGTCTGTTTTTTCACCGACTGCAGTCTGTTGTAACACTGATTGGCTTTCTGCTTGGTTTTCGCTTGCCCGTGAAAAGAGCTACGACAGGGTGACCAGTTTGCAATGAAGTCAAAACTGTGATTACCTGACTGGTCTGTGATTGATTCTTTTTATATAATGCTTTCCTGTTGCCACATGCTGATTAAATTTTTAACTTTGGACTCAGTGACCCATAGCCACCCCCACCCCCCCCCCACCCCCCCCCCACCAACCCAAAAACATATACACAATCTGTAACTGTTCCCATTGTAAGCGCTTCTTTACCAACCCAAAAAAATATACACAATAATGAATATCATAAAATAAAAACCATAATCTTTTTTATGATTATTACTGCCCCTTTAAACAAGCTCAAGCACTTAAAATACCCGTAAGAGGTTTCCACCTTGCATTGTTGTCTTTGTAGAACTGCCTCTCTCATGACATCCCTTTGTTCCGATATGAAAACTAAGACCTTGGTCCTGACTTTCAAGCCCATGGGGGTGAGATGTTTATCGCTTTCGGTTCTAAACAGGCATTGTTTTAATTCATTTAATCCTAAC